TATATATATATTACAACATTTTTCCAAACATTTCACTGTTTAAACTTCTTGTCACAAGGAGTGGCTGTATTTTCCACTGTGAGCTCCTAATTAAACAAATAAATGACAAGAGACAAGATAAGTGGCAATAAAACCATATACAGCTTCCCTTCGCTGTATTGGCTGCTTAGATMTGTTTTATGGTGTTTTATATAGATTTATTAAGAAACAACCAACTTCCCATAAAGTGTGTGTCACAGCTTTAGTGCGTGAATGACTGAACAAACTCCAAATCAGCATGACTGGTTCATGGTATTTCGATGTAAACCTGATCAGTCAGGTTCTAAAAAGGAGGCCCAGCTGGTTGAGGTGACAAGCGTTCTGTGTAGCTGAGTAAAATACATCTTGACGTTAAGTCAATCCAATCACCTGAAAGCGTTCCACAACGCAGAAACATAAAACATTAATTTTGTCCTGGAACGAGGCCGCACGAAACGGCACCTGAAGGTTCTCCCCACACACCCAGGAAAGGTGAATTAATTCAATGGCATGAGTCATTGCATGATAATTTTTTTTATCATATTTTGAGTATTACACAAGAATGTACTTGAATGTGCTGTTTCTATGCCTCAGCGTGAGCTGTTATTTCCATTGCCACGCTTCCTGTCTCATTTCCTTTCTGTGAGCTTTCCTTCTCGCAGCGGGGCGTCTGCAGACGCTGTCACTGTCAAAGACAGTGAGTGACATTCGCAAGCTTCTTCGTTCAGGGCAGCCRATGCAGAACGTCACTAAGATCAAGCAAAGTCCATGGTTGGATGATAACTTTATGTTTTAAATTAAAACAATCTTGTGTTGAGGAATGACGAAGCTGCAACCAAACATTTTGATCAAACCGGGAATATAACAGTAAGCACAATCTCATGCTCTGAGAATATGTTGTGAATGATAGTCACTYAGCTACTACCGCACCAAATTTTAGCTCAATATCTGTAAAAATGACAAGAGTTGTAGCCCTTTGTGCCCAGAGTTTGTGTTTCGTGTCCTGGTGCAGAAACCAAAAAAAAAAGATCTTTGTTTTCCCACAAAATTCAGGTCGCCAGATAAAAAATTATAGTTTGTACACATGCAAGCAAGTGTCCCAGATCTCCACCCAAACTTTTCCAAATCCACACACCCTAAACCTGTTTGGTTCTGAGCCGGGCCCGGGCCCGGGCCCGCCGGATCATTACTGCTGAGTCGTTGGCAGAACTCAGGCGTATGCTCAGTCCTAACAAGTCAGCATTTTATCACTCTGTGTGTGTTTCTGCTTATCAAAGCACCAAAAACAATGACTGCTTTGTTTCTCTACCCTAAAATACGCCTCAAGTTACTGTTTGTTTTGCACTTTAATATAGACGAAAACCATCATGCATATCAATGAAGTCATAGAGGTTAAAATAAATAACTGAGCTAAACTTATTTTTTCATAATTAAGTGAACTTTAGGACATCGTGCGATGCTGTGAGTATAGTTAAGGATGACTGTCAGCTACTACCACGCCAAATTTAGCTCAGTATCTGTAAAACTCAAGAGCTTATTTATAGTCATTTGGATGTTGGGTGAATGTGATTAGCTGTGGCAGCTGTCTTAAATTAATTTGATCCTAAAAGTTATTCAAGTTGTAGATGAACATCCAGTGATCATTTCCAAAAGTTTTATTCAAATCCATCCAGTGGCACCAGGGATATTTTGCTAACAGAGAGAGTTGACTCCAAATAGTGAACAGCAGAATTTTACACAGAAAATTCACATTAACGCTCAGAGGGTTGGGTATCAGTCTTAGCTACCACCACACTAATTTTGGGCCGATATCTGTCAAATTAACTGTGTTTTTGTCCCTTTGTGTGCTTTTTAAGTCCAACTAGTTGTGGGGGCCGTCTTTAAATCAGATTAACAACAGCAGTTAATCATCTTTAGACTTATATCCAGTGAAAACACTCTGCAAGTTTCATTAAAATTAGATGAAAAGTTAATTTAATGTTTTGCTAACAAAGGTGAGGAAAATGTTATGTCRTGTCTACAACAGGAGTGTTTCCAGACACAGGAGGGCAGCAGTCAACTATTCCTGGTTAAAATTATTCTCAAACTAAAATCTTTACTGCGCTGTTCAGTTTTTTAAACCTAATATAGTTATTTATATATATGAATATTATCTAAGTTTTATCTGTCCTAATAAAGTGGAAGTGCCGAAGCCTTTAGAGACTGAAATTTAAACATAAAAGTGTCCATTTTTAGTGTTATTATGAAGATAAAGAAGCAAAAAAAAGTTGCTTATTATCGTGTTTACTAAATTATTAATCAGTCTGCTTGTTCTCACAGGTTTAACCAATCCCAAAGGTGTGGACCAGTTCAAGATTTCCCAAGTTTGCTCCATGGGTTTGGTGACAAATGTGTGGTARACGCTCTGCTGGTTAATTCTGAGGGTGTGACCTGGGTCACTGGCACTACTACGGCGTCCCGGATGGGCCAAACTCGCTCCGATCTTTCGCGCAGCAGCACTGCCGCCTCTGGCAGAGTGAAGCCGAACACCATAGGGAAAGGTCGTCGACTCTGCCGGGAGAAGAAGAAGCCCCGGAGGGAGCAGATCAACAGGAATCCTATGAAAAGTAAAGTCCTCTCGTGTCTGGGAAGGAGGAAGCGGGACACGAGTCCGAGCGAAGCCGAGTTCGGATACGGAAACCCCGCGGATCCATCGGGAACGCGCCGCGGCCCCAGAGAGGGAAAGCTGCCCCGGGACGAGGTCGTGTCTGCGAGCGGGGAACACCCAGCAGCAGCCCCGCGTTGTTTCGAACCATYGCCCGGCCCGAGCGATGGTAACACTGGAGCCAGCCAGCTCGTTGTGAACCGGGAGCTCGTGGCTGGTTCGTCCGATGAGTCAGGCTTGGAAAGGCGGAGCGGTGAAGTCAGCATCGCGGATTGCGAGGAGCCGAGACCCGGGCGGGAARACAATGCCTCGGATCTCCCGACGAGGGCCATGGAAGATCAGCCTCTGGGGGGAAACAGCCAGGATCGCATCGTGCCTGAGTCCAGGACTAATTTGAGTTTAACCCCGCTCCTCACCTCTGACCCGGACACTGATCGGACTCTGTACCCGGATCCACATTCGGACGGTGGGACAATAACAGACGAGGCGAACATGACTAAAACCGACGAGAAAAACAACTGCTGTCCGGCCGAGACTGGGGACTCGGAYCAGAACTCCCCGGGAGGCCAAAGTTTCCCCGGAACCATTCCGAAACTGATCATAACGAGAGACCCGAGTCCGAGTCGTTCCCAGCGGGAGACGGAGCTCAGCACCGGCTCGTGTTTGGACCCCCACGCCGACGAGGAGTTCCCCTGCTCGGACAGCGGCTGCGGAGGGTCCCCCGCCGCGACGCGGATCCTGAGGAAGCTGTCCTCCTCATCCCTCTGCCTGTCCTCGGCCTCCTCCTTCGACGAGTCCGAGGATGACTTCACCGGCAGCGACGTGGAGTCCTCAGGTCGGTCCCCGAGCAATCCGGACGACGGACCAGGGGTAAGACCTAAACCCATTGAAACCACACCTCACACAAACACACTTCACAATTTAACTTTGTTTCTCACCTTTATATATAAAAACAAAACAAAACAAACAAACAAAAAAAACCCTCAGCATAAAAAATTCATCTCAGCTGCCAAAATCAAATAAATAAAAAAATGCAAATTTTACTCARTTTACCCTGACAGACACAAATTAATGCCATTTATTTATTTATTGAACAGACTGTAAAACCAGATGCAAACTGACCACAACTGTAAATAAAACAGTTCATGAAAAGTGAGGTAATAAACAGATCATAGATGTTAAAATCGTGTACACACACTCCCACATTCAGCTCTGACCACATGCACATCATCATCATCAGACAACTCAGATACAGATACTTTTAGGTATTTCCATGTTTTCTTAAGGCATTTTCACAACACTGAGACACACAACTCCCGTCTCTGTCGCTTCATGTCCAGGCTGGAAACTGCCTGGACTTTCACAATGGCATTTTAAAGACGCAATGACTGTCAATATGTGACTTAAAAAAAAGATTGGCGTCTGTTGTACACGTGCCAGTGGAGAGCTTTGTGTTTAGGTTGTGTTTAGGAGCACAAAAATAAAACTGTTTCCCAACACACACCTGTTTATTTTCATTTCATATATAGCCTACTATAAAAGATAAACTTTTCATATTAACATACACCAAATAATAATATTACTAATGATAATACTATGTGTGCCATTTGAACAGACTCCAGTAATGACTGTATCTCTCACAACAAAGCTGCTCAAAATCATTATTATGGCCATGCAATAATTAATGCATGGCCATAATAATAATTAAATTGTGGCCACAAGATTATTCTTTTCTAATGTCACTAGATGGGCACCGTAGTTATGGCTTTAAAGCACAAAATGAGACATTATTTGTGTGTTCTGTCTTCTAATAACTTTTTTTTTACACCCTGGGATTTGGGAGGGTCGATGTGACAGCGTCATAAAACAAAAAAAGGACTGCTGACATAATCTGTCTTTGATGTTGAACTGATTACTGCTCAGGTGCCAACAGGTGACATAAGAAAGAAAAGCTGGTTCTTCTTTCCACYACCTTCAACACACCTCACCATCACCTGACTTTGGTGAACTGGACCATTAAAACCCTGCGCAGTCACATTTTTTAGCTCCGTGTCATCTGATTCCAGTTGTTCCTTTGGACTGTAAATAAACTTTACAGATGCTATCGGGAAGGAATGAAACATCCAGTGATTAAGGCTGCTTCCTCTCGAGAGAGCAGATGCAGAAATGTAACTTGGAGTCTTTCTGTGGGAAATTTCCCCCAATTCAGTCAGGAGACTTTGACGCACTGACGACTAAAAATACGCTTGAAATRTTTCAATAACAACATATTTCCCTTGATGGTGACCTTCCAGTGTTTTGGCATCACAAAAAATCTCGACTATTGAGTTTATTTGTCTGCACCTCATCATTTTGTGTGCTCATAAAAAAAGATGCATCGTGTACTTTTCAGCTTTCCACCCTGAGCTGTGCAGAACCTCATCACGTACTCACGGGTTTACYCTGTAATCAAGTTTTTCTTGTGCGATGGCCTCTAAACTGTCATCAGGGTGATTAGTTCTGCACAACAAAATAAAACAAACAAAAAAAGACACAAAATGTCCTGTAAGTCTTGAGGGATTTTAGCTTTTGTTAAAACTTACTATATAAAACTCATCTATTTCTTTGACTATCTGCAATATTGACACAATCATGGTAAATAAAATGACTGTGGTAAGATGTTTGCATTAATAAATAAAACAATTTTTTTAAAATCTAAAGTTCAAATTAATAATAGTTGTTAAAATGTGATTTTTCATTTGAATCTTCAAGCGTTGAACACAATTTCATTGTTTAGGGTGTTGATAGAACTTCAGCTCATCAGAGCTTTCTTAAAAACTGCAAATATTCCTCAACTTTGTTTACAACTACATTTGGGCAATCATTGAGTGTAAACAAAGGACTGATTTTTATACATTTATTCTAAATTATGTGTCAGATAAATGTGTATTCATGTGTGTACTGTTGATGATAGAAAAATACAACAAATTCAAATCAGCAGCTGTTATGGCTTTAATGCTTGATTTCTAAAACATATACCTTCTGTGTTGTTTTCCAACAGTTCAAGACAAAGTTCAGAGTGAGGCGCTGGCCTTTGTTCACATACCTAAAATGAAAGATGCCTCTCATGTTTAAACCTGTAGCATGTCTTGAACCCTGCGGTCAAATTCACAGATGTTTCCACATAAACTGCAAGTTCAGTTCACAGAGGTATAAATTACCCCCCTTCAAATCTGCAACAACAACAAAAAAAAGAGTTTTTACTTGAAGTCTAGGTAAAATCCTCACATAACGAGAAGAGAATTACCAGTAGGCTAATTTACAGTGAAGTAACTGGAGTTGAGTAATACAACTACATGTAGAAATGGAYGTTTTCTTCTCTCGAGGTTACAGTAACCGTGTCCAAAAGGTCAGCAGACGGTGCAACTTGGAGGATGTTGCACTCAGATCCTGGAAATGAGCAACCCGAGGAGTTGCTGTCGTAAACGCCACCATGACGTTTGTTTTTGTGGCTCCTGGATAAGAGCGGGTGTTTATTGGGGGACGTGTTGTCCTCTCACAGCTCGGTTAAAGCTCCGTCCTAACGAGCTGAACATGAACGTGTTTTTTGTTTATTGTCTGGAAAACGTCTTGGCCGTCAGCTCGCAGCCAAGCCTTACATTTTATGGTTTGTTTGCTTTGTGACGTGAGAGGATACATTCTCTCTCTGTCTCTCTCTCTCTCTCTCTCTCTCTCTCTCTCTCTCTCTCTCTCTCTCTCTCTCTCGTCTGTGTGTGTGTGTCATGGAAAATTGGGCTGAAGGCTGAGCTGGTTGCTAGGCAACATCTTTACCATATATGGTGCTTTTTTTCTCCTCGCCTTGTTTTTATTTATTGTCTTATTTTTATCGTGCAGACAGTGTCTGCTCTGTCCCTGACATTTGAATGCTGCTAATATATGTAAAGGCCTTTGTAACAATATGCGTTATATATTGTTATCAGATTATTCCACTGTGGGACTCTATTTTTTTTTATTTTTCAACAACCTTTAACAAGAGTTTAATATTTTCCTTTTATACAACACTAAACCGGCTGCTCAGTGGAACAGAAGAAAAGACAGAAAAACTGGGTAATGTGACACATAGAGAAAAACTTGCAACAAAAGTTGGAACACATCCTACACACCATGATCATTCTTATCCATGCATGTTTATTAACTCATGAAACACAACGACTGTCTGAGCCACACAACACTCCCACACAGTTACCACAGAAATCCAGAACATGTCTGTTCATTTTATGACTCTGAATCTATTCAAACGCCTTTAATAAGCCTTTTAAACGAAGAACCTCATCAACAGTTTTGATGTTTATTTAATAATTTGTCTCTTTATAACAATTAAAGGTAAATATGCTAAAGTTGATTTAACTCCTGCCTGCAGAATGTAGAGCTGCATACTTTGTTAGTTCATTGTTTTTATTTATGTTCAAGGACAAGAACAAATAAAAATTCCACTTTTCATCATTAATGTCTAACAAACCAAGGTCATTTATATACTTGCAAAGTAAATAAACTTACTGTCTGAGCTAAAAACATGCAAAAACTTGAAAACATTTTTTGTAAACTTGGTGACATGCTATTTACATTTGATAATAAAGTAAATGTCATTGCTTATATTAATAATCTAACATTAAATTAGAAATAAAATTGTAATAGAGTTAGAAGC